ATTAGGGGTCACATAATTGTGACCTATTGTGCATGTACACTTTATGCATATTCGCGGAAATAACTTAAAAGCTTGAATCCCGTTAATTAGCAGTGGTATGGCATGAAGCAATAGACTGCTAATTCCAAGGGCGCGGGTTTGAAACCAGGGGCGGTACTGTCGCAGTATATGTGAACAACAAGGTTTATTATAAGCTAAGTATTTTTTATTTTTATTTGAGATTTATTCTATACTGCACGTCATATCTTTGGAACTAACGTTGTGTTTTTAGTCTTATCTAGTTCTGCAAGTTAAAAATACTCTTAGGATCATTTATTAAAATCATTTACACCAAGAAAATTTGATGAAAAAAAAAGATAATTTTTAGAAAATAATTTTTCTTTAAGAATGATAAAGAAAAAACGTTTAAATCGAAAGATTTTTGCTTCTCTCAAGTAATGCAAATTTTAAAGGCTTAACCAAAAAACATGAACAAAACCTCTAACATAATTCCTAATAGTTAAAAAAGTAAAAGACGTCGCAATTTTTAATTTTTCTTTTCCTTAAGAAACTATTCAAAGTCTCGGTTCTAAACTAAAAATGTACAGAATAAAAATAGTTATTATTAGGGGCCAACCTTTCGATCGTTCTCCAGAATTAACTGTTGGAACTGTATTTTTCAAGTGACAACCTCCTCCCTCCCATATTTTATTAGTCAAAAATCCAAATCCACCAAAATAAGAGATATTTTTATTCGAAGAAAGTACGCTATTATGTCCGACATCGCTACTTGTAACACTAATTAATTAGCATATTTAAAGTATGCATTGTGAAAAATAAAATTTTGGCTCATTATATTTTATTAATTATTAACAGTTCTAATTCACAAAAGTAGTTCGATCTTTTACTCAATTTAATCCATATTTTTTTCACGTTTTTATGTGTAATTAACGCATTAATATCCTTAAAATATTTCGATAAAAATTTGCTTTTATTAATAGGTATTGGTTTCACAGTTGATATTATTTTCTGTACAGTGCGGGGGGGGGGGGAAACGGAACTCCTTGAATACATTTTGATTTAAGGATTGGACTTTCGCGTACTAGGACAAAACTATTATGCTAATTAATTAGTGCAAACGATATTTTAAGGTATAAAAGACGATATTTTATACATCAGACGCAGAAACAAACTTTAATTTTCTCTGAATAAATATATCTTTGATTCGACAAAATTTGAATTTTTAATCTTTAATATTGAGGTGAGGTTATAGCCACAATTTGGAAAATATGATCTCAATAATATGGGGAGTGTCGTTGAACGTTTTGTTATGCTAATTTCACTTCTCCTTTTGAAATTGACGTTCAAAAAGGGTCTTGCACGCAATTTCTTCAATCGTTTATCCACAGATCCTATTTGAAAAATATTTTTTTCATATTTATTTATCATTCTTTACTGTTTAATTTATTAATGATTGAAATTTTTTTTAAATAATAAGATTTCACATTTTCACTTCGATTTAATATACTTAATTTTAAATGATAATTTAAAAATACTATATTTCTTTTTCAAATGGCGAATTATGCGGAAATTAACATTGAGGGAATAAAACTTTCGATCTTTTTCCTGTTTTAAATATTAGTACCATTTTCTTCAGATATTTTCCGGCATTCACAGATATTACTTATTCCATATTATCCAGATACTATTGGAACCACTTGTTTCTAATTGGGATTATATTTACCCTTTCACGTACTGTGGGTTAAAGATTCAAATCCATTAAAAAAATATAGATTTCTTCGCAGGAGTAAGTTTTGTGTCCGATTTCGTAACTTAAAATATCTTCTGAACTAATTAATAGGTATGTTGAAGATAAGATTGATTCCTAGAACATAAAATTCCGATCATTAGATCACAGATATTAAAGCTCTCTCTCTCTCTCAGTTTTTTCTACTCAATTTATATGTATTGAATCTCAATATGAGATAAAAACGTTCTTATATTAGTGGGACCGGAAAGTAATGTCGTTTCGGTGCATTTGATACATTAAAGATATTTTAAACATAATACCTATGTAATACCTTTTTAATACGTCAGATACAGCTAAATTGCTACGTCAAAAAGTTCGTTGGCTTTTATTTTACCGCAATAAAACCAACTACTAATTGATAATAATTTTTATTTATCTAGTTGTGAAAATAGGGCTATATTTAGTATAGCACAGCTGATGAAATATACTGTCGTATCAGCTTTAAATGACGTCATGATTGTAAGAATTATTTTCGTGATACTTGTAAAAAGAAAACAACTCAACAGCGATGGAAACAGTTTTTAAATTCTTGTAAATAATGGTAGTTGATAGAATATGTAATTCTGATAATTTTTTCTCTTAAAAGTCATTTTGTTAAGTTGAATATTTGATTATTTCTTTTGAACAAACAGTAAAAGAATCTGATTGTCTCATATTGTATGTGACATATACAGTTTTAGAACTACTAATAAAATTCAAAGTTCTAGTGAAGTGTGCAGTTCTAATTACTAGTAAAAATCAAAATTTTAATATTGACCCAGTTTTTTTCCATTCTTTTACGCACACTCTGTTACCATAATTATTGTATTAAATTATTCTGTTTAGTTAGAAAAAATGTTTCCCACGGCTCCCTGGTTGATCTGTAGCTAAGGTAGCTATTTCAAAAATTGTCATTATATTTGCTGTATTCTGAGAAAATATAGCTTTGACATGGTAAGGACTTTTTATTCACTTTCTAGATTCTGGATATGTTTTATTCTTTCTGTTACTAGTATGTCTGCTTTAAATTTATTATTTTAGTGTTCTTTTGATTTTTTTTATTGCAAGATCAATTTGCGTTTTTCAGTTTCATTTAAACATTTCGTCTTTTCTATTGAACCTGTCCAGGTAAATTTACTAGCAATTTCTCTTTTTCTCTCTGTTACTCTTTCTCGGTGTCACCATATTCATGGTAACTTTATTGACTAGACTCTTTATTTGGTATATAATTAATTATTAAATTTATTAAAAATATTAAAGTTATTGAAATAAATATAGTTGATATCAATATTTGCATGACTAAAATTTAGTAATTTGTAATGCAAGAACTGTCAACCTTCTCCTTTGTTACTATTTTCTACAATTTGTTAAGCTTTCATTTTCCTACATTAATTTAACAAGAAGCAATTTTAGTGATTTTCAGTGTAAATTTGACTAGAAAGTAAATTGCTCACTGTTTCAGGTAACTTATTTTTAACACTTATGAACATTGATAACAAAGGGAGACATAATGCAGATTTAAGTAGTGTTTTATCTTTTTATGTTCAAAATCAAAAAGTGCACTGCTGTTTTAAGTTTTATGAACAAAAAACATTCCAATTGCAACTGATATCTTTATACTTAGTAATTTGAATATTTTGATTTTTTCAATAAAATATTTTCTAAACTCACTGAGAAAAATTTAAGGTCAAAAATACTAGAATATGGTAAAATTTATCGCGTTTCTGGCTCTATGGAAACACCAAAAAGCTCAGTAATTTTAACCGAAGCTCTTTTGCAATGATTTTGGTAAAATTAAGAATAAAGTATCTATATTATATAAAACGCTAATACGTACGTATGTATCAGTAAAACCGATGATATTTTTTTTTTCGCGCTGGCAGCAGTTTTCATTTTTAATTGATTGGATTCGGCGCGCACGAAGAGCACGCAGTGAGCATCATATGGCTAATCTATATTATATAAAACGCTAATACGTTTTAATTGATAGGCTTCGGCGTGCAAGAGCACGTAGTGAGCATCATATGTCTAATCGGGTGAATTCTCACCGAATTATCAAAAAAATTCTCACAAAATTATCTTCATCGAAGTCGATGCTTTACATTCAGCGTTCAGTACTATTTCATATTGTTTTACAACACATGGTTTTAGCCCTCTGGTGGGAAAGACTTTAAAACAAAACTTACAACAGTTACTTTTCTCAACAACTGAAATTTAGAATAGTGTGATTAAGAAAAATATGTGAACTGTTTGCAATTTCAAATTAATATTGAAATGCACAGGTTTAGAATTTTCTACAGTGAAAAGCTTTCGGAACCTCAGTGTTCAAAAAAGTATACAAAAACTAGACGTTAAGAACGTATTCAATGAGCGAGCAAAGCGAGCATCGGATTGCGAAGCAATCCGAAATGAACTGCGAAAGCAGTATCGGGGGTTGGCGAGCGCCAGCGAGCAGGGGGCGAAGCCTCCTAGTTGTTTTATAATCTGTGACAAAATTTGGAAAATGTCAAATTTGGTAATTTTATCTTGATGCTTTAGAGCAGTGTTCCCCAACCTTCTAATCGCCGCGGACCAGTCAACGTTTTAATAATTTTACAACGACCCGCTAAAGGGAAAGTGGACGTTGATTGTTTACATTTTAGATGGTGCTGATTTCATAATTTTAATTTAATTTCTTTTAAACATGCCTTCAAAACAGAATGGAGTTACATGCGCGGTATGGGTTCGGCTTCAGGAGATGAGTCTTAGTGTTAGATAAAGTCTCAGATTAAGTTTTATCCTACCTCTCGCCCGTAAAAAAGTCGCACAAATTTGAAGAAATACACCATAGTAAATAGAATGGAAATAATTAAATTTTCCAAGGGGCGGCTGGGTAACATTTGATCCCCTGACCGGTAACGGTCTGCGGCCCAGGGAATGAGGACCACTGCCTTAGAAAACCCTTTATTCCGTTAAATTTACTTTTCAGTTATGTATTTTTAACGAAATGTGTGGTAATGAGAATTATAATTTTGAAACCAGAATGTCTGGTAAACCGTACGAATGGAAAAACTATCAAATGAAGGGTTTGAATACAGTATATTTTGGTTTTATTAACCAAAATTATTATTATTATTTTTTTTTTGTTCTACTAGAAATGTCAAAACCATTCAGTACGGTAATTTTATCAGAATGTTTTTCACCGTGTGCCTATTTATTTTGAAAATGACCCATATCTAATAATATATAAAGTCTATAATAATACATAATGTCTATTAGTTGTGTACTTTGGTCTATTCATATCCAATGAATTTTGTTTAATTTTTCAGTTTTATTTATAAACTTAACGAGAAATAGATAAAAATCTTCACACAAATATTTTTCTTAAAAAAAAAATCTGATCTTTTTTAATCGGTAATCAAAAAGGAATGGTTTTTCCAAATCGGTCTATGAACGCTCCATGATGGTCTCTATTAATTTGCTCTAAAGTCTTAAGCATTGCCGAGATGCTTTCTTCCGGTGTTATTTCTGCTAAATCTCTGTTGCCCATGTCTGTTTTAACCCAACCAGGGTTTATCATCACAACCAGTATGCCTTTGTCTTTTAGAGTTGATGCCAAAATTTTCATTGCCATGTTCAAAGCAGCCTAAAATAATATTAATAATAATATTAAAATATTAAATAATAATATTAAAAAATAATAATAATAATAAACAATAAAATACAATTCAAAAGTACAGGGGAATATCCTGGTACAACTCAAATAATATGCAAAATTTAATAAGCTGGGCGAATATACTCATTTCATGTAGTCAGCATTGCGCACAGGCCGCCTGTATTTCACAGACAAACTGTTACCCTTCTGTTACAGACTGTTGTCACAGACAAACTGTCCTTCTGTCACAGACAAACTGCTACAGAATTGAAGCCGCGATTAGGGATCAAACCCCGGATTATTAACCAAATATTTCTATGGTCAGTAATTGCTTTTGTAATGATAAATTAATTTAAAACTTTATCTATAGTTGTTGATAATTTATAACTTGCACATTTTAATATTCCAAATGCAATCATCATCTTTTCATTGAAAAGGTTACGAATCCATATTGTAACATATATTATTCATGAAAATCAGAATAATCTGTTGGTTGTGGTAGCCATATATGGCAGTACTTTTACTTTCGTTACTTGTACCGCCGGTACAAGTAAAAAGTACGTACTTTTACTTGTACTTCGTTACTTTTTAAATTTAGTACTTTTACTTGTACTTTCGTTACTTTTTTAGGGAAAAAGTA